AGATAATTCAAACGAAGCAACACAGATAATCCAAATGAACAGACACGGCTAGAATACACGGATAGATTTTGTTAACTACTAATTTGAACAGTTGTTTCCTGCAAATGTCCCCTCCCAATGCCTCACATATAATCTCTCTTGGGAGGGGGCAATCACCAACCACCTGTACGTAATCATCTTCTGTGAGTCTGCCTACGGAGTTGCTGCTTCCGTTTCTCAGCCCTTCTCAATCTAGCATTAGGGACAAACTGCCATATTTCCTCCCCACTCCTCCATGCCTCAGGCGCCTCCTGGTGGCCAACCAGCCTCTCTGGTCCCTGCTCTGAGTCTGAACCCTGCCCAGGGTCCACCACATCTTCCATGGCAAACTCATATGGTTCCTCGCTATCCGAGTCCAGCAGCAGCTCAACCGGATCCTGCTGGGCCACAACACTTACCTATGGTACTGGTCTCAAGAGTTTGCCTATTACCGGTCACCCAATACCTTAGTAGAAATCTAATATCTAAACATGGGTCTTTGCATATTCCTACCATAAACTGTTCCTCTCCTTCAGAATCTGAAAAGATGGCTGTCTAGTGATTTCTCATTCCATTGTTGTCGTTGTTTTCCTTTTAGGGGAGCTGTATGTGTAAATGATGATGAAGCGACAAGGGAGGGGGACATTGCAGTTGAGAGACCTGAATCAGGATGCCTCAAACCAGATCCACCAGAACATGGATTTATCAGGGTAGGTGTTTTATAACTTCTCAGCCAGCAACATCTGTGAAAGGCGAATCTGTTAAAATCAGCAAGATGGCAGATGGAGCATTGGGATGCTAACTGATCCTTTTTGAATATTCATGCGATGTTGATATACATACAGAAAGGGCAGATTGTGTAACATGATTCTCTGTCTGCCATCTTGCTGATTTTAACACTCCCCCTTGGACGTTCTTGTTCTCAGTTGTTGTTTTCTTATGTTTCTTAGACATACAGTAGATACTTATTAAAAAATCCAAAAGATTAAGCAAATGTTCTAGCAAGGGATTAAGTCTTAAACACATTCCCTGGAACATCTGGTGTGTAATCTGGAGATCTTCCTGGACTCATGAAAAGAACCATGTCAAAGTCATGTCAAAGTATGGTTCACGATCCAGCTTTACCCCAAGCATTAGTATACAGTATATTAATGGATGTGGTGGTTCAGTGGCTAAGACACTGAACTTGTCAATCAGAAAGGTTGGCAGTTCAGTGGTTCAAATCCCTAACATCATAAAACAGAGTGAGCTCCTGTTACTTGTCCCAGTTTCTGCCAACCTAGCAGTTCAAAAGCAGGTAAAAATGCAAGTAGAAAAATAGGAACCATTTTTGGTGGGAAAGTAATAGCATTCCATGCACCTTCGGCATTTAGTCATGCCGGCCACATGACCACGGAGACTTGTCTTTAGACAGCGCTGGCTCTTAGGCTTTGAAATGGAGATGAGCACTGCCCTCTAGAGTCAGGAACGACTAGCACATATGTGCGAGGGGAACCTTTACCGTTATCTTTTATATTAATGGAACCGGTTGTGTTTCATTTTGTTATTGTTATTGGCAACAAAATATTTTATAGTGACCTTGACATGATTTTTCTTCATTGATCTCATTGTGTATCAAGTTTGATTTTATGTTTACCACCCAAAGTTCCATTGGCTAGATAGAAGTCCATATAAATTTGTTAAATGAATGAAAATAGAACTTAATAGAACCATCATGTTCAAGCCAGCTTCTCTTCCAGAGCCAGGCATTTGATTTAAAATGGCCTTGTTGCTGGAGTCCCTGTTAGCTATGATGCTATACTTGGGTTTACGTCACAGCCATTTTTGCTGTTTTAAGGGAAAGTGCAAGATAATATTAAGATTCATTGTAACTTAAGTAATTATTTATTAAGCAACTATGATCAGAGGGATCAAATTCAGCCACAAAGCTCAGTGGGATAACCTTAGTCCAGCTATTCATTCTTTCAGTCTTACTGAATTTGAGAGTTGTTGTGGAGATATGACAATGCAAAATAAAAAAACCCTACAGATTTTAATAATTCTGAGGCAACTTCTGCTAATGGGTAGAATAAAGTTTGTCTAAATAGTTTTGAATGGATGAACTGCTCAAACAAAGTTGCATGAAAAACTTGGATGCTTCTACTTGAATATAAGGAACTGTTTTTATTTCATAGCAAGTCTTTTTGCTCAGCATATGAAAAGTTTCTTCTGGTTAATTTCAGAATGAGAAGAACCATTATGACGTTGGGGAAAATGCTGAAATTGTGTGCTTCAGTGGATACACTCTTACTGGATATCCATTCTTTCACTGCCAGCCTGATCAAACTTGGTTGCAACGTCCTGTCGAATGCCAATGTAAGAACCATTAAGAGATTTAAGCTACTAACAAGAGTAAGGCTATGCAAACATCCAATAGAGGTTCTCTGTGTATGAAGTCTTGCTTAGTCCAAGATCCAAGTTCATGTGAAAAAATTCAACATGAGGTTATGGAGATGTATCCAGAGCATTTGCATCATAACTAAGATAGCAACCAGTGTAAGCAAATCAACATGCCTACTTTATGTGTTCTAAGTGAGGAGAGGCACATAATATCATGTGCAAAATGCTGAAGCTGAACTGAGTAGAGAAAGTCCAGATTTTGTAGAAGTTGGCCACTCTTAAAGTAGAACTGTGGAAAGGGATGAGGGAAGTTGCCTTGAAGTCTTACACATCATTGGTACTAATTTTCAACAGTGTTGCCGTAGATAGATCAGTGATTTGACTTAGTATGTCCATTGGAAGGGGCTATAGTTCAAAGATCTGCTTTGTGTGCAGGAAGTCCCAGGTTTACTCCTGGCATCTCCAGGTAAAGCTGAGAAGGACTATAGTTTTATTCCATGAGAGTTGTCACCAGTCAATATCAATAATTAGGAATAGGTGGACTAACATATTGATTTTGGTACACAGCTTCTTTTGTTCCTAATTTTATAAACAGAACTTCTATTCCGAAGAGAGCCAAATATACAAAGGATGTTATGTTAAATGTCTTGTTGCAAACAGTACATCCCTCCCTGAACTATTTAAGGCTTGGCACATCTGCTTCATTGGCTTTTGTTAGGTAAGCTCCCCATTGGGAGAGCGAGTATGTTCAGCGAAGCGTTGTGAGAATGTTGTTGGAGAATACACAAACCAGCATACAGAGACACTGCAGTTTAAATAGGCTTTTACTTTCATGG